GGGGGGTATTGGCTGTGAGATTCAAAGGACATCAGGCCTGGGCGCCGCTGGGCGCCAGGATGTAGGTGGCGTAGTTGTCGCTGCTGCATTCGCTGCCCGAGGAAATAGGCAGAGAGGATCAGGATTACGCCTGGAGCGGGTGGGGGCCGAGCCCGGTCCACTCCATCGTCAGCCACCACAGAGATCTGATCTGCCCTGTGTGTGTGTGTGTGTTCGTCGTCATGGTGAAACTTCGCAACGTCCCGACCGCAAAGGTGAGTTAATTTTCTTTACTTGTGCTTCAAAAATAGTTGCGTACTCCGCGATGAAAAGTGTATGTGTGTCACGCTCCCGTCCCGCGCGCGCGGAACGCGGCGCACCGCGAGTCAGACCTTCCCTCTCAGTGATGCCGCGGCCCGCGGCCGCCCGTTCCCCTCCCTCGCTGCTTGTCCGCGGCGCGCGCCGCGGCCCCGCGGTGTGCGTTGGCGGGCGGAGCATGCCCGCTCTCCTCCCTCGCTGCTTATCCGCGAAGCGCGCGCCGCGGCATCGCGGTGTGCGTGAGCAGGTGGGGGCCACGCTCGCGCCGGGGGGCCCCTCACACTTTGTGTCTAGAAGTGATGTTATTGCCACGTTTTAACGAAGGGAAATGTTTGTAGGAGACGGAGAGAAAGCGCCGCAGGTCGAGCAGCAGCGACAGCAGCAGCAGCAGCGACAGCAGTAGCAGCTCAAGCAGCTCAAGCAGCTCCAGCAGCAGCAGCAGCTCAAGCAGCTCAAGCAGCAGCAGCAGCTCCAGCAGCAGCAGCTCCAGCAGCAGCAGCTCCAGCTCCAGCAGCTCCCGGAGTAGCAGCTCAAGCAGCTCAAGCAGCAGCAGCAGCAGCAGCAGCAGCAGCTCCAGCAGCAGCAGCTCCAGCAGCAGCTCAGGCCGCAGCAGCTCGAGGAGCATCATCATCAGGAGCAGGAGGAGCAGTGTGGCCCCCGCGAGGAACCCAGCCCGGGTGCCGGACGCGCCCGCCGCCCCTGCGCCGCCGCCGAGGCGCAAGCCGAGCGCGACCCCCGCGAGCAGCGGGATCCGCCGCGGTGGAACGCCGCCGCCGTGCTGCTCCAAGGATTGTGCATCGCCGCCGCGCACGCCCGTGGTGGACGTGGTTCCTCGGATGATCTCCCCAATCAAGACCCCGCCGATCAAGAAGGTAAGTGCTTAGTGTCCTCAATAGGGTGTGTGCGTGCGTGTTTACACGCTGCCTGTGGCGTGACCACGTAGTGATCGTGCCGCGGGGAACGTGTTTAGCAGGTTGTACTCTCACGTTTAGTTTTCTTGTGTTATCATGTGTGTGTGTGTGTGCTTTGGCAGGTTTGCGTGCGTGACGATAATGCCCCTGCTCAGAACGCTGTGCCGCGCCCCGGCTTTATCGTGGATAAGGTGAGAGACGGTCGAAATTAGACATCAATTTACATGTTTAACTTGTTTCACTTGATCTGGCGAGAGCAGTAAACTCATGTTTTGTGTTGCTTTGTCGCTTTTCAGAAGGATGACTCCCGGGCCGGGCCCTCGCTCTCGCTGTCACCGTCTTACATGGAGGAGCGACGGCGCCGCTCCATGAAGGTGGCGTCGCGACGTCAGCGCGTGTTGCCGCGGCTGCCGCCGCCACCTCACGAGCGTCCCCTGCTTGCATGTCCGGAGTCTGGTCACCGTGAGGGTGCTGAGGGAGAGGAGGAGGAGGAGGAGGAGGAGGAGTACTGCCCAGTAGAGGCTCTGCGTGAGCTACAATCACGCAGAGCTGCTACTGCAAAGTCCTCTAGAGCAGCGAAGCCAGAGCTTGAAGAACTATTCGGAGACATCTCCTGGATGGCGTCGTACTCAAACCGCCCTAACTTCGTTGCTCCAGAGGCGGCCCCCTCCCCTCCCCCTAGCCCCTCCCCTCCCCCTGCCCCTGATGGGGATCAGGATTCCGGATCGAGGGAGGGCCAGGGCATGAGGTGGCCGAGGCTTCGGACGATCACGGGCATAAATGAGAAAGATAGAAGAAGCAATCGGTGCGCACGGCTCATATGGTTGATCACGATGATCGAGACGGGCAAGGCCTGGTTAGATGGCCCTGACAAGGAAATTGTGGAAGAGAAGAAGGAAAATGAGGAAGAGCATGAACATGATGTAGAGAAAGATACAAAATAAAAATGATGACCTTAATTATACTGTACTGATTTCACATTTCTTCCCTGAGAAAAGCATGTAAAAAAGTATGGACATGACTTTACGGTAAAAAAGTGTTTTCGATTTGCTTTTGATGACTGCGCAGAAAAATTAAAAACAGAATACAGAGTAGTTGTCGAAGCTTGAGTGGTTGAGTCGTTTCACACAACTTAAAAAATAATTATTTAAAGCAGAGTAGATGTCGAAGAAGTGTCGATGGCAAAGAGTGTTATATTGAGCAATAAGCATCATCTTGTGTCGTTAACTCACTGTGAAATCTTTTTCTTCATCAAATGTATTGAGGCGTGAGGAGTTTTGGGTAAAGTTGAGAACAACGGAGTACATTGGTAGATAAATTTTTTATTTACAAAAGCAAAAACACAAACAATTTATAGCAGATTTCTATACTCGATCTTGATCTTACTTAACATAAAATCGTAATAATAATACATCAGTTCATATCGTACTTTTTTATAGTCAACATCACCCAGTTGGTTAAAAACTTGAGTGTTAAAATCAGAGCACTCTTCCATAAACTTTACAATTTGCATTTGGTTATCCTTCTTGTGAAGATATGAAAAACCATGACCCTCCTCAAAAATCTTTTCCGCAGCTTCCTTACTTAACTGTTGTATAATTCTAATAATAACAGTAATTGCCTCTTTCTTTTGATCAGCCAAGTATTCGATATATTTTTTAAACAAAAAGATGCGCTCCCACGACTTGAGAGCCAAGTCAATGCATTGAGTCTCAATATCCTTCCTCCTTATCCTAACATTGTACATTTCTTTGTTATCTGATAGATTGACAATGGTGAGCCGGAGCCCACCACAGTCAATAAAGTCACCCAGTTTACCATTCCTTATACCGTCGGCAATAAAATTTTGAATATCCTTTTCGCAAAGGACCCTTAACTCATCGCGGCTCATGCGCACCTTCACGCCGTTCCCGTTGCTGTTTGTGCCCTTCAGCTCAAAGAAGGGCAGCATCTTGTTCAGATCTACCCCAGCCCACAAATACTTGTTTTGGCAAAGCATGATGTAATCAGTAAGGACCCGAATGATGGGGTCCCCCATGCCGTCCGCTGGCACGGCGACGCAGCGGAACATGTCCTCCATGGCGGCCTCGTCAGCTGAGTCGAGGACCACGATTGATGAATTGTCGACAGCAGGCTCCTTTTTGATTGGAGTGGACGTCGCTACGGGTACCGGAGGCACCCCGATGTCGCCGCCCTGCTCCAGCCCGGCCTGCTCACGCTCGCCCTGCTCCAGCAGGCGAGCAATGGTGTTTTCAGCGTTCAGCACGGTCTGTTGGTCCATGAAGTCCAACAGCCCGGACATGTTGGTCAACTCCGTCAAATCCATGGACGAGACGCCCATGTCGGCCAGCATGCCGGCTGCGGCTTCCCTCCCTTGATAGGAGGGTCCTGGTGATGACGGCCCCGGCTGGTAGGAAGGGATGGGCGACGAATCGAGCCCATCCGTGACGTCCATGTCTGGCAGTACCTTCGCAACCATGCGAATATTCTTCTTTGCAGGATAAGGCTTTCGTGCAGCAGCCTTCTGAGCAACGGTGTTGGTGCGGGGAGGAGCCATTTCCTTGCAGGTGTAAGTGTGTATGGCTGATCGAGATCAACTGACTCTCCGGGTCGCGATGTCCTCCTCTTATACCCCTCAGCAGGGGGTCGTCCGCCGGGCCCGGCGGCATCATCCACCCCCTCCCTGTGCTCGCCGCCGGGCGCACGCACCCGCCCACCACCTACCCCTTCCCCCCTGGCCCCCTGTCGAGCGCCGAGCACGACTTCGGCCGCGCCGAGGAGGTCCGAGCAGGACCCCCAGGGCGCTCGCCGAGCCCTTCCCCCCCACCCTTTACACCCCCACCCTGTGCTCGCCGCCCGCCCACGCACCTGCCCCACCCTACCCCCTTCCCCCTTGGTCCCCTGCTGAGTGCCGAACAGGACCCTCGGCGCTCGCCGAGCCCTTCCCTCTCCACCCCTTTCACCCCTTGGCCCTGTGCTTAGCGCCGTGCGCCCGGCGCGGTAAAGGGGGGAGGGGTGATGTAGTCCTTGCGCGTGCACCAGACGACAAGATCAAAGTCCTCAGTTGAACTCGCGCGCCTGAAACTGTCGGTCGTGGCCATGGCAGACAAGTTGCCTCTCCGTGAACTCCTTGACAACTGGAGAAATGGCCTATATGAACCTCAGCAGTACAGGGCACAGGCGTTCCAGGCCCTGTTGGATAGCCTTAGCACGTTGATCATTACCGACTCGTGGTGGGAGATACCGAAGGACCCCGATCTGTTACGTATTCTGGAGAAGGGGTCTAAAGCCTACCTCAGACAGCTCATCTTTCGACAAGAATCAGATCCGACAATTCATAAGCTATACATGCTGGTCAAGAACCGTGTGATGGAGATGCTACGCCCTCAGGTTGGAGGGGGTAGGAGAGCGCCCCCGTGCCAGTGTGCCGCGAGGAAGCCGGACGCCGCCGTGCCGCCGGCGCGCCGCGCACCGGACGCGCCCGCCGCCGCCGCGCCGCCGCCGCCGCCGAGCCGCGAGCCACCCGCGACCCCCGCGAGGAAGCCGGCCCGGGTACCGGACGCACCCCCCGCCCCCGCGCCGCCGCCGAGGCGCGAGCCGGCCGCGACCCCCGCGAGCAACGGGATCCGCCGGGGAGGAACGCCACCGCCGGGGTGCTCCAGGGAGCCTGACCCCTCGCCGCGAAAGAGGAAACGTGATGTGCATGATGATGATGATGATGATGATGATGATGA